GGAAGACACAGTCAGAGCTCCCACTAACTTCAATCGAATCGAGATTTGACTTCTAAGGATTGATCTGATGCTCACTGAAGTCAACGGAAAAGCTCCCATGAGTGCCCGAAGCATGGCCCCAGGGCTAAATAGAGTTCACAAGTTCTTTTAATATGACTTCTGGATGCTCCTTCCTTGGGACTCCAGGGTAAGGCTTGAGTCAGCTGTGGGTTTATTTATTTTTTATGATTACAAACCAAGCCAGCTAATTTATTTGGAAATTAATTGCAACTTCAGGCTGAATGATATGCAGTGTTGCCAGGTTTGTGTTCCCCTTATTTATTTGGATGGCCATTTTTAAAGCAAATTACAGCCCTACTTTATGCTCTCCAATGTTTCTGGAATCATCATTTTTAAACAAACCATTCACTGTAGTTGCCATGTTGTATGAGAAATTAAGGAAGTAAGGCAACAGATACAGAGAAATTGATCAAATTTCCTTGAGGGAAACTACCCTGGAAGAATGTTTTGCTTTTATGCATCAAAGGATTGCAAAGTGCTGTGTAAACACTAACTAAACAAGCTTCTCAGCACACCTTGAAGGTAAGTAAATCTTATTCTATCTTCTACATCCCTTGATTTGTCTCACACCTTTCCTCTCAAGACCTGTTTTAATGATCTACCATCAAAGGCTGATGGAACCAGTTCAGTTTGAGTGGATTGGGGTAGAATACTGCAAAAATGACCAACTGCTTTACTGACAGTTTGGTAGAGAATTATAATCCTCCTGTCATCAACTGTTGAAAGATTAGCTCCTAACAATCTCTTTCCTAGATTTGGCCTCATAAGACATTATGAAATACTGATGGCCTGCAAAAGATGAAATACTAAGAACACATCAAGAAGCACATATAAGAAAGTGCAGCAGAGAGAGTTGTCATGTATCACAAGGATTAGTACAACAGTCTGGTCTCTCTAGGGGTGACACCCACACTAGGCACTGGGAGTAAAGCCTGCACAGGGACGTGTAATGCACATCTCCCCCCTTCAGTGAGCTTGGCTTTTGTTTTAAAAGAGGATAGGTCCTATTTCTCTGCTGGTATAAATGGGCTCAACTCTACTGACATCACCTAATTGTGCCAACACAGACCTTGTCCTATATGTGAACCATTAGAAATGAAAGCAACCATTTCATTTCTTCACAGTGTATAGTTGAATGGTCTGGAATTTTAATACTTCCAGTAGATGTTATTCAGTAACAGAAAAATAATCATCATCACTGAATATCAAAATTGTTTTGATGGATATTTTCCCACAAAATAACATTTTTTTTGGTCATCATGAAACACCTTAGGCAAAATCATTTTTTATACCTGTTCCCCCCATAGTAGGCTAAGAGTACCAGGATGCATACAATATTGAGTATATTTCAGAATGCATCCCAGTGGGAATACTGCATCTGTATTCATGACAAAGTAAATTTGGCACTGAGTTTTAATCTCTTCATTGATAGGAGTATAGTATAAATTAATACATTTTAATTTTTATTGTACTCTCTTTAATAAATGTAATTACCTACAATCTTCGAAAATTAAAGTGGTGTAAGTGAAGGATGATGTCAATCAAAATTCATAATCTGCTTGTTATGGGGCATTCTTTCTAACTAAGAGACAGGGCTGAAGGACAAATCACCAAATTCTCATTCAGGCAAAACTCTTATTAAAGCCAAGTGGAGTTTTGCCAGAACAGAGAGACAGTAAAAATGGAGGCCTGAATCATCCCATATATAGAAAAAAGGAGTAAAACCTCTGGGCGGGGGAAAGGAAGGGGGAAGGTGTCTCCACACAGAATTCCCTGCCTTCTGCACCATCCCTCCACTAAAGGGATGGGCTTCACTCCTTGAGAATATGCTTAGGGCCCACCTTCAAGCCAGGAAGATCCCAGGCCTTCTATGGGAACCCGGGGTCACACAGGGCAATGCATTGTTCCTGTCCCCATAGAATTATAGAACCATATGGTTAGCAGGGACCACCAGGGTTATTTAGTCTACCCCCCACCCCTGCCAAGATGCAGGATTTGTTGTAGCTATCCAGCCTCCTTTGAATTTTAATTCTATCCTCCAAAGTATTTGCAGTCCTCCCTAGATTTGTGTCACCTACAAATTTGATCAGCATGCTCTCTATTCCTACATCCAGGTCATTAATAAACATGCTAAATAACACAACACCCAGAAAAGATCCATGTGGAACCCCACTTGAGACCTCCTTCCAATCCGTCATCATTCCATTAATAGCTACTCTGTTTCCAGTTGTTTAACCAATTATGCATCCACTTAATGGTAGTTCTACCGAGCCTGTATTTCTCTAGCTTACTTATGAGAATGTTATGTGGGATTGTGTCTAAAGTCTTGCTAAAGTCCAAGTATATTATGTCCACCGCATTCCCCTTCTCCACCAAACCAGTTACCTTGTCAAAGAAGGAAATCAAGCTGGTTTGGCATGATCTGTTCTTGGTAAATCCATGCTGGCTCTCAGTGATCACCGCTTTATCCTCCAGGTATTTGCAAATGGAATGTTTTATACATTGCTCTAGTAGCTTCCTAGGTATCGAGGTCAAACCGACTGGTCTATAGTTCCCCGGCTCCTCCTTCCCCCCCTTTTAAAGATGGGCGCTACATTAGCCCTTCTCCAGTCTTCCAGTACCTCTCCTATCATCCATAAGCTTGCAAATATCAGCAATGGCTCTGAGATTTCTTCAGAACCCTAGGATAAATGGCAACAGGCCCTGCTGACTTGATTCATTCAAATTAGTCAAAAGAACTCGGCTGTGTTCTTTACTTTTCCTGATCTGCATTTATTTCCCTTTATTTTCTATAATAACTTCTCTGGTCATGCTATTTTTTGTATGAAGAGTGAAGCAAAGTAGGCACTGAGCAGTTCCGCCTTCTTATCATCTTCTGTTACCGGCTCATCTTCTCCATTGAGCAGTGGGCACATGACATCTCTGATCTTTCATTTTTGTCTGACATATTTGTAGAAACCCTGCTTGTTGTCTCTAACACTTCTTGTCAGTTGTAACTCATTCCTTGCCTTGGCTTTCCTGACTTTGTCCCTACATACTTGTGCTATTCCCACGTATTCATCCTTACTGACATGCAAGTCCTTCCATTTCCTGTATGTATCCCTTTTGGGTTTTAGATAGCTAAAAAGCTCCTTGTACAGCCACATTGGTCTCCTGTGGCTCTTCTTATCTTTCCACTGCATCGGAATAGCATTATGTTGAGCCTCTAGTATTACATCTTTCAGGAACTGCCAGCCCCCTTCGACTCCTTTAGAGTTGAAGGGGGCTGACAGGGGGCTCCTAGACCCAACACACATCATTTCCCACTTTCCAAAGGAAGTTGAGGGAACAGTGCTCTGGAGGTGGCTACTCTCTTTATGCAATTTAGGGCCTTCTTTGTGTTCTGTGCTGGTACAGTGCCAAGCATAATGGAGCCCTGATCTATGACTGCTACTGAGATACAAACAAAAATAATGTGAAACCAGGGGGAAATTCCCCTCCGTAGCCATGTAAAGACCTCAGAATTTGAACATTAGAACAAAGAGAAAGGGCATTAACTACTTCAATCTGAAAAATCTATGTGATTGTCTTACTCTCAAAATCTTTAACAATTAGTGTTTTCTAGGGTAACTGGAGATGAATATTCCTGTAAGACACAGATGCTTTGCTTATTTAAAGCATTTCCCAGACTTTTGAAAGCCAAGTTACCCTGCAGGCAAACAGCTTCCTACATCCCTATCTCTGATTATTCAAGGCCTACTGATCTTAACTTGTACATCTGCTGTATCCCCCTCTCTCTGGCTAGTCTTACGGAGTCCCCACATCACGATAAAAATGTAAAGAGTTAACCAACAGGTTGGGTTATTGATATGATAGCTTGGTAGCTCACTAAATACTCAGAAAATAAATGATGGTCCAGTTCACAGAGTGAAAGGTTTTCTTCTTTAACCAGTGTACCATTGGCTATATAATACTTATATGGATGGTCCACTGGGTTCAATTCCCTGCTCTTCTGCAGACTCATCATGTGACATCAGTGTCTCAGTCCCTCATCTGTAAAAGGGGGTTAACAGTAGTTCCTGATCTCTCAGGGGTGTGAAAGATAATACATTTAAGACTGTGAGGTACTTAGATACTACAGTAAAAGAAGTCATAGAGAGCTGTAGAACATAGCCCATGAACCCAGGCTACAAGCTGTATTTAAGGTCTGGCTTGAATTTTTGCAACAAAACTCTTCTCTTGTCAGCACTTTGCATCTTCCCAATCCTGGGCCATCTGGGTATCATCAGAGCAACCATAACCAGTTTCCAATGGCCCTAAGGGAATTGATGGGGTACAGAGATGTCTTGGCCATGGCTCTTGTGCTGCAAGGAGAGGGGCCGTAGGAGCCACTATAGCAATTCTACACCAACAGAGGATCTCTCTACACAAGGGGAATCCTCCAGTGGTTGGTTAAACCAGAATTAGAATTGCTTTGTGTCACTAGAGTGGTATAGCCAAGGAGCAGGGGCTCAGTCTATAAAGAAGAGGAACAAGCACATTGGACATGGAAGGGATGTGGCATTGTTAACAGCCACTCAGTTATGAAATGTGGATAACTGGGTATCCTGGAGCTTTCTTATCGCTTGGAATATACAGCAAATGGCTGAACTGTTTTGGTGCAATCAGAGTAGAACCGTGGCCTTCGGCATTAGGTTTTATTTCCCCCACCCCCAACTAGTAGGGGAAGGGATGTCAAAGCTAATTGGGGCTGCAGATTGTATTCAAAAAATATTTGTATTAACCTCTACGAGTCAGGAAATAAAAAGTGAACTGAATTACTTACTGGTTATTATACTCACATTAACAAACAAACAACACGTTTACCAGTGGGTTCGGTTACACCCACCTCTGCATTGCAGCATTTAATGTTACCAAGACCTATTCCCTCTTAAAGTGATCAATATTAATAATGTACATGCCTAGGCTAACAAGTGCAGATTCTTCCGGCCAGTCGGTTTTGGACCCATCGAGGAAAAAGCTGAGGACGTGCTCATTCTGAAATCAAATAAAAAAAACAACAGAAATATTACATGCTGTGAATGGGTGGGGGATGTGCTCCATTTTCCAACACTGGTCCCGAAGGGCAACGGGCTGGTTTGTCTCTTGCACATGCACTAGAGGAATAAGCAGGAAAGGGGAGCCTCTTCCCTCCCATTGCAGGGCCGCATGGCAGGATAGGACCCTAGTACTCCCTTGGATGTTGCTCTATGAATCCAGATGCACACCCGAGTGGGGTGTAATCACAGCCCCGACCATCTGTGCAAAAACTGGGTTTGACAGCAGGCACTAACAAGGGTGCATCCTTCCCCTTTTTGGGGAAGCAGGAAAGCAGCACACCTGAGGGAGTTGTACCTTGGCCCCATGAGCCATCCTGCTCTGCACTAGCTGGATGACTCAGGGACACTATGTCTTTGCTTCTTCCGGTCAGCATGCCACACGACAGCAAGGCCAAAAAGTGGTCTCAGATTAGTGTTTCTAGTTGGTAAATATGCTGCAAAATATTTCAACCCCACCCCCTGTGCAGCCCTTCTGTGGAGAGGAAGTGGTGCAGAAGGTCTTGCATTGGTCCCCTGCATGCAGGGTGAAATTCACCCCATTCACTGGACCAGTGTACGGCCTGCAGTGCCACATAACTTAAGTGGTGCAAACGTCTTCTGTTGGCTCTCTGTACCCTCCCATTCTAACAAGGCTAATAAAGAGTTAACTTTCTGACAGAGCTCAGACATGCAAATAGGAAGAAGAGGATCATTTTTCACCACATTGTTTAAAGAGGCCTCACCTCTTGTGCTAGATTAGAGATTTTATTTGTGTTAACTGACCCACGGTGCTCTAGTAAACAGATGTAAAAGGTAGTTGAATTCAGCTTTAGAGCAGTAAAGTAATAAACCAAATCCCCTGGTCTCAAATATTGTGCAGTGCACTAAAAATGTGAATTTCAAAATGAACAGTTATAAGAGTTCTGAATCAAAGCTGGACAGTAATTGCATTTTATTAGCTTTTTCATAAAGCAGCATGTCAGATTGTCCATGCTTTAATGTCGTTAGACTAGCCACATTTATATCAGTGTTACCGGGATTGATACTATAACGAACTGGATGCTGCACAAGAGCCTTTTCAGATTCCAGCATTCAAATGTCATCAGCATTTTACAGGGCTAAGAGAAATAAGATGTCTCTTATCAACAGCATGTCCTGCTTCAGTTTGACAAAATGCAGCAAGAGACAAAAAACGAAAAAGAGGAGCTTAATGATAAATGTAGCTCCTAGAGCAATTAACATCTGGGATTAGCAGAAGAAAAAGGAACATATGCTCAGCATTCAGATATGATTTAACAATTTGGATTTATTTTGACATTTGTTTTTGCTTTTTATTTTGTTGTTTGAAAAATAAAACCTCCAAAATGCTTCTAAAAATGTCACTTTTCCTTGATTCAAATAGGAGAAGAAGTGATTAGCAAGAAAGTGCCAGTACTCCAGATAAGCCGAGTGCTGACAAATACAAGGTAACTTTAATCTTCTGGGGATATCTCATATGTGAACACATATACTGCTTCAGGTAGTAGTGTCATCTTGAACATTTATTAAACAATAGGCTTATTCCTTGTGGGACCCTTATTTGCTTTTTCAGCATAAGTCTCCACAGGCAAGTGTAGGGAGACTCAGCATTTGAAGGAGTATATTTTTGGCAGCTCGGCCCTTATTTAATAGTATGAAAAGAAAGCAGATAAATGTAAGTAGTCATCCTACCTTCATAAACTCGAGAGGACAGGTATGAGGAGGCAGAAGGAAGAATATTTTAACACATTTGAAAGGGAAATAAAAATTCTTCACTGAGCATCCTGTCTTTCTACTTCCTCTTGCTTGCTCTTTCAACACTAGATAGGTAGGTTTATATTGGTGACACAGGGAGATTACTGAGTGGGAAGAGCGGAGGGTTATTTCAGGTTACCATAATTGCAAGTTCTCATTTTCACCAGTACCTGCACCATCATTTAAGAGCACATGGCAAATGGTGCAAAATCTCATGACAGGCATACACATAATGGACACCATTCATCCCTGGTGCCTCACTATTGATTTCAAGGCATGAATTTTGCTGTGTGTGTGTGTGTGTGTGTGTGTGTGTGTGAGTGTGTGTGGAGAGAGAGAGAGAGAGAGAGAGAGATTGAGAACAATGACGTACCCAGCATGGTAACAACACACATAGGGAGACAAGAAAGGTTAGTGTTGGCAAGTGAAAAGGAAAAAAAAAAAAAACTGCCTCAGACAGCCCAGGACCAACGGGCAGATTGGCCAGCCCACAGAGGGCATGTGAAAACACTGCCAAGGCCAAGGAAAAGATCTTCAAAGTGTTTGTTGTAATAGGCATCCATAACTGCTTGAGAGACAGCAACTGCTCGGCAAATTGTGTGGAGGCTGAGATCTTAAGTATCGGGAGTACGTCTGCATAGTACAGGACATGCTCGTTTAGAAGCCACTTCAGCAAATAATTTAAACACATGCTTAGGTTCACCCCTATTCAGCAAGAGACAAACACATGTTTAACTTTAGGCTTGTGCTTCAGTCCAATTGCAGTCAATGCCAATGGGACTTAAGCATGTGCTTAAGTGCTTTGCTGAACATAGACAGACTGATGTATTAGAGCCTGAGACAGCACGTGTTAAATGAACACAAATTGTATGTTTTGTAAATGGCTGAGTGCCTGCATTCCATTAAGGATTAAATGCTAGTGATCAGAAGTGTTTGGTATTGGTCAAATAGTTTTGGTGGCCTCAGTACATTTCCAAGTGAATAGGTATCCATGTTACAAAGACACATCACCATGAGAGGCAGTAACTGACCCCTGTGTTGTCAATTTCAGCATAAGCCAAGGAGTGAATTGACCATGAACATTCAACTACTCTTTCACAGAGAGAAATGTTCTCCCCAGGTCAGTAATTTTAGTTTAAGTTCCTTAAAGCAATGCCTGTATTAGGAATTTTAGGCAAATCTCCCATCATTGGTCTTATTTTTATCTAATAAAAATATAATCTGTAAAGTTTAATGGTTGATGTTCACCTGGTTGAATCAAAAAGTCAAATATTCCATTAGGGGAATCTACGTACCTGAGCTGTGGGTGTCTCTCTGTTCAGAATTCATCAATATGCTCAGCTGTTAAAATTGAAAGGACCAAATTTCTGCTCTCAGGTACGCTGGTACAAATATAGAACTCTTAAATCTACTGACTTTGGTATGTATATTCTGAACTTACATTAGTGTAACACACTAGACTTTGGCCAGGTATCTCTACAGGAGCCTAAGTAAAAATTATCTTAATACTTGGGCAAATAAATTAATCATAGTCAGATTTCTAGATAGCAATAATTCCAGTAGAAAAAGAATCAACCTGATCTGTTTTTTTCAGCTGTCTGCCTATCCCATGCTTCTGTTATAGTTCAACAGGCCAGAGAAGCAGCAGGAAAGAAATAAATCAGAAAAAGCTGACCCTGCTGCATCTATGACATCTTCAGGAAGTGATAGGGGAAGATAGGAGACTTCAAGCCCTGTGCATTTTGGCTCTGCTTGATTGCAGTGTATACATGAAAAGTGAAAATTCAAGGGAGCCACACACTTCAGACCCTCATTATTTCTATCACATTAGAGCGACGCCATGAAATGAACACTGGAGCCATTTTCTGATTTCACTTGCATTGGTGTAAATCCAGAGTAGCTCCAGTGACATCACTGGGTTATTTTGGACTTACACCACTATGTACATGAGGAGAGAATTTGGCCCTGCAGGTTATACAACATTCCACCATATTTATGAGGGATTTCTTTGCTCAAATAAAAGAAAGATGTGAAAAAAATTTAAAATACAGATATGCCCCTTTTCAACCTTAATTACTTTTTTGCAAAGCATTAGTTAGACTAGCAAAAGGTGCAAAATTATCGCCTGATTCTCATTTATACTAAGGTCTTAAAGTGTGTACTTATGTAATTTACAGCCATTTCAATTTACACCCACTTTAAAGCTTCTTTACATTGTCATAGTGGTATAAAAAGACTCCAGTATAGGTAAAAATCAGGCCCTGTATGTTTCAATGTGCTAGAATCACATCTGATGTTAGCAGTAAAATTTCAATGACATCCATGGACTTTTATGTGCTTACACTAATACTGAATTTGGCCCAATGTTTTTAGAAGTATCTTGTGGATAAGTAAAAACAACTGCACACAGGAAAAAAAACAATAAACTTCACCTTCCCCACAGTTAATGTAGTGTAGTTTTGCTAATTGAGCCTTCTCTGAAATTTTCAAAAACCCAACCCACGCGCGCCCCAAAACAAACCAAAAACCTTTATGTATGAACTCAGTGGGACAATTCAGGTAAGTTTAATTAAGCACATGCATTTTGGTAGAATAGGAACTGACATCTAAAATCTGTGAGCTGCATGAGCACACTGTAAATCCAATATATTGAAACCAAAACAAACACCACACATTTTTTAAACAAAAAGAGATGAGAAAATAATCCATGCCCACCTGAGTAAGTTGATGAATTCTAAACAGCAACCCCTCACACACATTCAGGTACATAGATTGCTAGTTTCCTATTTATACAAAATATTGAGGGCTGAAAAATTAACATTACTTAATATTCAGTTCCATGATTGAAGTTAAGCTTTTTGTACGCCAAGGCCAGCTGCAACTTCCCCTTCAAACTACGCAGAAAAAAAATCACCTTAGTCAACAACTGACATGTTGCTGCTTGACACAGGACCCAAGAGCTGACTCAGTTAATAGTGCCTTAATTTGGTATGGACTCCTTAGGGAGTGGACAGTCTCCTAGAGCATGGCATTAAAATGATGAGCAACTGTGATAGCCCTAATTTATTTTATATATTATGGCTTTTGGGTTGTTATGGACCTGCAATTTCTATTTAGCCTATCACTCAGCTAGAGTTAGCAGTGGGCATAAAAAAAAAAGTCTGTCTGTGAATGTCACAGATTTGATTTACACTGAGATAATGTGTAATTTTGTTGTTCCCATGTTTCAAACCTTCAATTTATTGTGTCTTGATGTTTCAACTAGTTTCTGGATTGTTCTCCCACAATAAGACACCACTTGGCTGCTATTATTTAATGAGGCAAAACTGCAAGAGTCCAAATATTTCTGAACATGTTCTCATGTTTATCCATGATTATTGCCCCAGTATATGCAACTAATCAACCAACCATGATATAATCGGTGCAAAATTACAATATTTTTCTACCACACATGTAATACAATTGATTTCATGGAAATAAAATTAAACTAAAAAAACGTGCTGACATTTGTCCTTAATCATTGACTTAAGCTACTCTACTTAATATCAAAATAAAGATGCATGCATACTAGAAATTTGCTGTTTTAATTCCTGTTTGTAGCCAGATGGATATTAACTGCAATGTTTTACAAAAGAAAATTCACTCAGACAACTTTCTGTGAAAACATATCAGTTTTGATGGAACTTTCATTGGGAATATTTCTCAGGTCAAAACCAGAGGAAGCGAGAAAGAGAGAGAGAGAGAGAGAGAGAGAAACCTACTTGGAAATAGACCATAACATTGTGGGTAGAGCAGTCACCTGGGATATTGGAGATTGAGGTGCAGGTCCCAGTTCTGCTGGATTCAGGGCAGGGACTTGAACTTGGTTAGCCCACCAGGGAGGGTATTTCTCGAAAATTTTGAAAGGTCTTGGTTTTGTCCTGATGCAGAATAAACTAAATGCTGAAACCTCAACATTTTTACAAGAAACTGAATTCTTGTTTTCCTGCACCCATGCTCAGGAGCTCTCAGGGCAGGTATGTTCGCCCTCCCATCTGAACTGTCTGGCTCCCTTTTAAACTCATCTTCCAGTCGGATCAGGCTCTGCAGGTGTAGGGGGCGGGGGTGTAGTCACCTGGGCCAACAACTGCTCCTTAACCCCTTCAAAAGAAGGGGTTTATAGACCCTGTCACAGTATGGACATTGGTATGTGTGGATAATTTAAATTTTCTATTCTTTAAAATACATTGTATTGGTATTTTAAATGTTTTAAATAAGGATTTGACTCCATCAGAATTACAATACAAACAATAAGGTAGATAGTCCCTTCCCCCGCTATGTTAAATCATTTAACAGAAAAGGCCAGTCTTAAACATAACACTGTTTCAGTAATAAGCACTTAGTTTGGTCTGAAGAGTATGCACACTCACATGAGTCAGTGAGAAATCGGAGCGTAGTCCAATTCTCTTTAATTCTAGAATTTTTAGCTACATAACGATAAGTCTGAGTTTGCAGTACCTCCTGCAAAAGCAGAACAAGAGTTTTCATAGTTGCACAAAGTGACAATTTATGTCTATGAAATCAGGATAATCAGTTTAGAAATGATAGACAGAGGAATTTATAATTAAAATCTCTTCTACTTTTTGGGTTTCCACAGCCTGAGCCCACACCCTAGGCCTCAACTTGGCTAAAACACAATTCAGCAGGACAAAAATTATCAGGTTAATAGATGTAAAAGACAAAGAGTTTCATGCTATAGGCATCTGCACTTTCAAGACACACCAAACATTTATTCTTCACAAACTCCTTAATTATTTATTACTACCCATTTTTACTAATGCATAGTAAAAATACAAGTAACTCTTGAACAGAGAACTATCATTAGATATGGCTTAGGCTATGCTTTCTAGTCGCATGAGAAAAAGGACAGATTTGACTAGAAAGTTGTCTGAGATGAGAAGACAGACAGAAGCAAGTAAATACAATAATTTTTTTATCAAGAAAATCTCCTAACGAATACTTTCCGCTTGGAACTTAACCAAACATCCACTATGGGGAAAGGGAAAGTTGATACTATTTAAAAAACAAGGATCTCTCAGCCATTAATATAAAGAAAATGACCCACTGAACCAGTCTCCTTGATCTAAATATATCAGTATGTTCAGAATATCTAACATCCCCTGGCAGGAGAGCAACATTAAAGTAAAACATCACAATTCAGTGATTTTGGAACGCCATTGACTATATTAAGATGATCCCTAGAATTACTAGTTAGATACATAATGGGTAGGAAGACAATGTACAGCATACGGTAACATTTTACAGATGAAAACTATCCACCTATTATTCCTTCCATTAATATGGTCCACTGATCTTGTACACCATTAACTACAGCACATATTCTACTGTAAAAGATTAGTTTCTCTGTCATCATTTTAATAGTTGTCCCTAAACTCTCATCTCCTTGGCTCACAGTTCTTGTCTGCACTGGAACTGAACTCTGTATCAACTGAGCCACTGGTAAATGAACTGGTTGTATTGTACATCCACACTACCCATGTTGGAGTGGTTTAAGTTTTGCCCTCTATCCACAAGAGCACTGTTCTAAACAGTTTAATTTACAGAGTCCTCTGGGTACCTACCCCGCAATTCCCACTCAGCTCCCAGCAGTCTGGGAGCAGACTCAAGGCCACTAGTGCTCTGTGGGATGGTAATGGGAGGATTAGATGAATTATTAAACAAGATGAGTGGTAATGTGTTCTAACTGGCCATTAGACCATTTCTAGGGTTTTTTTGTGTGCAGACACAAAGGATTTTACAAATATTCAGAGGTGATGTGTTTGTGGGGGAGGGCATGCAGCTGCTTGGCTTGTACTAAGCATGCTCACTAACATCCGCTGAAGCTTCTGCCCTCACTCTGCCCTTTCCCTCCCTCCCTCCCCTCTTATCCCCCTCCCCCCACTACTGGCAGGTACAGATCGTCTCTGCAAATATTCAAGGGGCTTCTATCAGTTTAATTTCCCTAGTGTAGACCAGGTTATAGTTTCTGCATTGTAGTGCCTGGCCCAAATGAAAGCCAGTCTATTGAAGGCAGGCCTAGGGCACAATTAAGACACAGAGCCTTTCACTTCTAAGTCACTAGCCTGAAACAGCCTAAGATCACTAATGATCAAAAAGAGCTTATGTGAAAAACTGGTGGTCTTAGTCCCACTTCACTGTAGGGCAGGGTCTATACAGCACATAAAAGCTAACGCAAAAACTCTGAATTTTTACTGGCAATCTCAGTAGAGAGGCCAAGGACTGAACTGGCCTGGAGTCTGAAGTCTCCTCTCCAAGCCTGAGTGTTGCTTTATCATGTGGATGTTCGCTATCTTTGGAAATCTACTGACATTTCCTATTGACTGCTGATCTTCAATCCAGGATTATGCATTATTATTAAAAAGAAAACAAGCTCTGATTGTTATTTCACCTGGATAATTTCCCTTTCCTCTTACATTTCTACGGTGTGGTCACAGCTTCATAAATTATTGTGCTGGGTGAGTTTTCCTGTCCAGCAAAAATTTTCAAGATTTAAAAAAATGTCCATCCCAAATCAGATGAAAAGTCAAAAATCTCAAAAATGTTGTGACCCTAAAATCAGAAAAATATTTCAGGTAGGTAATTTCAGTGTTTCATTTTGATAGTTTTGAAACATTCTGTTTTGATTTTGACCTTTTAAAATTCTTTTTTTTTGTTTACTATTACTTAACTTAAAATTCTAAATGAAAAGTCATTTTGAACCAAAAAACAGAACCTTTTGTTTAGAAAATGTTGAAACTGGATGTTTTCACAATTTCAAAACCTTTTTTCCCTGAAAAATAATTCTGAAATTAGGCTATTGTTGAAACCAATCTAAAAAGATTTGGTTTCCCTGAATCACCATTTTTGATGGAAAACATATCCTGTCAAAAAATTCCCAGCCAGCTCTAATAAATTATTTTTCCAATCTCTTTGTTGCCTGTGGGTGATTAGTCCTGTTAAATGCTATAATTGTTCCACCTCAGAAATGGGCACAGCAGTGTCTGGAGTTGTCATTTTATATGGGCTGTAGAAAGCTTTGGGATCTGTTTGGCAGAAAGCTGCTAAAAACAATATAAGCTATTATATGGAAAACGATCACGTACATTAGATAGGTTGTTGAATCCATTCAATAACTGCTTCACATAGAGATTTAAGTCTTTCATTCTTTTGTGTTCAAGATCTGTAAAAGGTAAATGCCACCAGTGGGGAAACCTGAAACAGAGAACATGTAGACATTTTATTTCTCCTGAAAAAATATGATATTATTTACTCTATGGTACATAAGAATAGCAGGACATCTTTAAGATTTTGTCTTAATTATTATTTTTATTTAAGAAGAGGGACTGTGGTCTAGAGGATAGGGCACTAGAGGTTGACTCCTGAGACAGAGGTTCTATTCCTTGTTCTGTTAATGACTTCTCGCATGACCTTAGGCAAGATGCTTCAGCTTTGTGTCTCTCTTCCCATCCCACCCTTTGTCTGTCTATTGCATTGTAAAGGCCAGATTTTTAAAGGTATTTAGGGTACCTAATAAGCACCTATCTGCATCTTTAGATGCTTATATTCCTTTAAAAGTCAGGCACTAAGTGCTTCAGGGAAAAGACGGTCTTTGTGCTTGTATAGTACCTAGCACTGATGTCAGCTTTTGGCTCTAGGCCAACTGTAATAAAATCCTACTATTTCTAATAATAATGAATGACAAAAAAGTATTAACGAAATCTTGCAGCCTCTCATCAGTACAGCTTTGCTTCCTCCCTTGCCTCCAACCCCCATTTCTTCTGTCTATTTAGATTGTAAGCTCTTCAGAAAAGGTTGTATCTTGTATTGGGTGTTTGTACAGGGCCTATCACAATGGGTCCCTGATCCCTACTGTGGCCTGAAGGTGCTACCACAAAGCAAGTCGTATATGGAAACACAATAATAATAGATAATAATGCTCTGATTGGATTTTAACAACATTAATTTTACTTTGGTTTAATAATTAAAAAATATTTCTCTAGTATTTTTCTACATCATGGGTCCTGTGCCAACTTCAAATTTTACAGCTGTTGAAGATACCTAATGTTTTAAATATTTTTTCACTTAAGTGTGTTATAAAAGCTATAAAAGCAGTAAATTCCAAAGCATGGCTCGATCAGCCAGAAGGTTAGCTTTCTAACAGTGCACCTTATTGGATTACATTAACCTTGAACTGGAAGGACTATTTCTCTCTCAAAATGAGGGAATGTATTGTGCGTCTCAGAAAAGCTACCTGAGCTAAATTGCATGTGAAGGTTTTGAGATATGGATTACTAATATTAAAATGAGATTGTTAAACGAATATTATGCTTTGCATCCTCTCATCTACATGATTTACAACAGTGGACGTTTCAATTTGATTGTATTAAGTTTCTCATCACCACTCCAGGCATTTAACAGTGACTCATTTACATTCTCCTTTTTCTGGTATAATCCTGTTTATCCTCTCAGGAGACACTTGAAAGCTGCAGATGAGTAGAGAGCCAGCCAGCCGTTCAACACAGTGAAATGACACTTGGACAGACTTTTTGAGAGCCTGCTGGTCAGATCCTTACTTTGAACAGGCTGTGCCCAATTCCAGAGCTCAGTGAAAAGCTGCCACTAGCTTTTAAAAGGCCAGCTAGATTACAACACATTGAGTTGTAATTTGCAGCTGTACAGAGGAACACTGGCTAGCTCTGCAGACCAGCTGGTTGTGAAAGTCTATGCAGGCAAATGACATTCTCATCTAGTGAAAAACTGAATGACTTAAGTAAATTAAACCTGATTTAAGGCCCAATCATGCCCCCAATGAAGTCAATGACAGTTCTGCCTTTCACTTAAGAAAAAAAAAAGGAACAGGCCCTAACCCCTCTTCTCCTCCCACATGCACACGCATCCTCCAGAAAGAAAGGCTCACTCGTTTGTTGTTAAATCATCCCACTCCTAGAAATAAATCTGCCTTGAAAATAATGAGTGAAAAAAGTATACCTCACAGGTGGCTGTGGACAACTAGAATATAGCAAAGTTAGGCTGCCACAACAGACTATGATCAGTTTCCCCTAGATCCTATGACAGACGTGAAAGATTCGAGTGCCTTATAGGCTGAATTTGTGTTGCTAGCAAATATAACCACCACATATTCTTCACATTTTTGCTTACGTAGCGAGAACCATTTAACGGCAGAATAATGAGGACTAATGTGCTGTCTTACTCCGGGAGGGCGTGTGATGGAAATTGCTTCTGTAGATGGCTGTGAAGTTTTGAAAATTGTTCAAATGATTTTTCCACAAAGGTGACCACTTGGCAGGTTTGCACCACCTGGACTAAATATAGCTGCATTGGGGAAAAAACAGAAATGATTTGAGAGAGGCTGATGCCAAAAAGGCACATGCAGGACTACAAGGAAATTTCAACAAAGAAAAACTTTTCTGTAATGTAGCTACACGTGCCTGAAAATGCAATTTGTAATTTATAGGCGTAGTTGTATAAAAAGGAATTTATCTGGATGGGATGCAGTTCAAACACTGAAATATCACCACTGAGTGCGAAAACTAATAATGCTCCATTGAAGCAGCGTACAGCAAGTTCTATCAGGCTTCCTAATTTTGTGCTGTGCTTTCCTTATGGGTGCTATAATTAGCTCTTGATTTATTTTTCACTATAGGGCAGGAACTGTCCTCCTTAATGGCTCCCCGCTAATAGCTCTCTGCCTGGTTTTATTTCCCTCCAGAATCTCATTGCTTATGGCACTGCTGCTCATTCTATGATCCTTTCTTTGTTACATTTTATATAACCGAGGCAGGAGAGCGTGTAAGCTAAAGGAAGAGTAGTTAAAGATCAAGCGAAAGGAGGGCAAGTGGAGAGCGAAATACATACAGAGTCAGGCTTTTTGCTGAACCCTAAAATGGTTGCTCGGGCAATTGACCTCTCTGCATCCAGCAGGTTGGATTCCTGAGGAACATTCTGTGAAGCTGTAGACTTGGCAAAGCCTGTGGCTAACATTTGTGCAAGCGTATGGATCAGGTTATTGAGTTTGACAGGGAAGCACTCTAAACTTTCCTTTATTTTCCTGAGAAAACAAAACAAAAAGAAGATCAAATGTAAACGCTTATCTTCATGCGTATATTTCCCTTTGCTTCCATTTCCTGGTGCCTGCTGCCATGACAGCAACTAAAAATCAAACACACACAACACGCATGCGCACACACTCTCTCTTGTCACCATTTGTTTGCAGCAGTTCAATTTACGCAGCAATTGAGCCCAGTTTGGATAAGTTATTCCACCAATCTCCAAAGGACTCGGGTGTTGTATCAACCAGGCAAGGTACTAACAAGCTTCAAGAGGACTTTATTTTCAAAGTGGAAACCTCTTCACCAAGCTGCTGCTGCTGCTGCACCCTCTGTAGTTTTCTCCCACCCTCTCAACTCCTCCCCCCTCCTTCCTGTTTCCTGTCCTTTCAGACTCCCAACAGCCAGTGCTCCCAATTCTAATAATTACAAGCAACATCTAAACACCACATTGGGCTGGGTGTGTTATCAGGAAAGTAAAAAATACACTCACTAGGCTAACAACCTAGGTAACCCACCTGAATTATCTCAGTGGCTCTTATTCCTGATTACCTGGACCCACCCCACCCCTGCTTTGGAGAAAAGAGGCACACACAATGCCTCCATGCATGTCGAGAAGCAGCAATTGCCACAGGGAGAATCAGCACTAAAGTTGAGACTCTCAAAGCTGATTCAGTGATTCACTTATTGGAGTCTGTGTTGCTAAATCCCTGAGTGGACTTTAAAAATCTCAACCCATGATCCTATTTGCCCTTTGTGTAGCTACATAAGAAAGAAAGACCTCCCTACACCATCTTTCCCCATTTAATTCCCATGCAAGATAAGCCAGAACACGGTTCTCACTTCCCAGAGCTTTGGGATCCTTCAGGATGAAAGGCACTATATGCAAATAAGCATGACCACTTCTTCAGATCAAATGTGAATTCTGTTTGGAGAATGGCACTTGCAAAATTATATCACAAGTAGTCCTTGAAGGGGGAGAGGAACTGCCCCTAAAATCCAGTTGCCCTGTTTAATCCAGTTGCCATTTGAATCTATTTTCACTGTGCTGTTAAGTTTCCTCTCTCTTCCTCTACTTATATAGGCTTTGGGGTCAGATTTCTGGGAAATCCAGTATAGTTGTTGATACTGTGGAGGGCCAGCCATTTAGACTTAACTACACAGCCCCCCAAAAAAGCCATAAGAGTCCCAGAGGTTTCCCAATGTTGGGTCTTAATTGGGACTCAAATACATGTTTAAATCTATTGCTAGTCAGAAGTGCACTTAAGCACATGCTTAACTTTTAACCACCTGTTTAAGTCCCATTCACTTAGGACTTCAGCACATGCTTAAAGTTAAGTATGTGCTTGGGCTATACTGGGAAAAGCAAGACTTTTCTGAATTGAGACCCGATTTTTCTGAACTGAGACCTAAGTTTGCATGACCTCTGACATTCGGGCTGAAGACTCTGGTATCTTTCACAAATGCAGTCATACCCCAAAGAAGAGGCTCAGATGCAGAATTAACTCAAATGTTGTGCAATTTATCATGTAGAGATTAGCCACATTAAACTGAGTAAGGGTGGAAGTTGAAGATACATATTTTTTCTTAATGTAATATGAGGAAAATAATCTTCCAATAAGGCAATGTAATTATCAACTTAATAAGCTTTCTTCAAAGAGGCAAACACAGCCCATTTTATAAACGCAACAATTTAGGAGTCTCATGCAAAACAAGAAAATAAATCTTAATTTAGGATATTATTGGAAAATCAATACAGTGCTGATTAATTGGGCCACATCCAAGGTTGTAAAACTTTTCTTTCTCTAGTTCCTAAGGAAAAGAGTATTATATTTAAAGTGTAGTTTAATCACTTGATAAATCACGGGCATGTGATTTGGGTTGTGGAATCTGTAGTTCTACTATAATATAGAAAAGCAGCCAGAAAAATCAGAGTATTACTGGAAGAGAATAATGTTAATTTTACAGCTAAACACTATTCAGTTTAATCTAACTTGTATGACACATGCCTTTGCTTACAGTGTACAGCCAACTTGATATTCAGACAATATCACTATTGCAGAGCAGCTGATATCAGAGGACCATAATTCAGGCAATTCGTCTCTTTAATGGCTTGTTGTTCTTTCTATGGGCCCATTAAACCTTTCAAATGATTTTAACCTGTAGACTGCTAATCACAAACCTTTACTTTATATTTGAAAAAATATTTACTTTATTAAATACTTAAAAAGGATGCTACCAACTACATTTTTGAAAAAATTATACATATATAGAAAAAATGCAGCAACTCATTTAACACATTAAAAATGATGTGCTGGAAGGTCTTTTTTGCTCTTCTGTTGATGTTTGTGTCTTCTCTGCAACAGGCAAACAAGCTTGGGCTCTGATCAGGCAATTGGTTCTGTGCTGGGGACCCCTTCACCCACACGTAGTCAATAGATGCTCCACGGGGTTGCCAGGCACTGCCCGTACAGATCCATATACTGGACTATACAGGGAAAGAGTGACACTCACTATATATAAAGTGCTAACAAATGTGCAAATAAAATTGAAAAAAACAGAGGGCTGATTTTATTTCTAGTAATCTTGTAACTGTAGCTGGCACACAATTTTCAGGCAAAATTTTAATTTTCCTCTTGACAGTATCCCTTTAGGAGTCAGGTTAGTTTCTGGCCTGCTTTTCAGAAAAGTGAGTTGTGTTTTCAGTGTAATTCACATATACCAATTTTATGCCTCCTAATGGCTGAGTTAAATTTGGATTTCATGTGTGGTTCTCAGCATTCCTAAGGAACTGTTAAACTCCTACACAAGTCAGGGTGTGCAGAGACTTAGACGGCTGTTCTCTGAAGTGGGGATGGGCAAATAAAGTTTGGCCTACATCTCCCCAAGTAGCCAGTGATTAGGGGTGCTCAATTGGGTGACCAATTGGGGAAAGGTGGGTGCCCAGTGCTTTCTGCAAACCAGGCCCTCTTCATGGGATCTCACAACAGAGGCACTCAAAATCTCCAGCCACAGATGCAAATCTTGGCCTTATATATAAAGTAAGAATCCTTTGCCCCAGACTTCAGTCTAATTTTAGTGTTAAACCTGAACCCATTATTGAAGTTTTGAAATGTTCCAGGAAACTTACTCAGCTTTTTATTTCCAGCTGGGACAGGACCTGCCACCGTACAGTAGGATCAGCAAGACTGTCTCATGGCATCATCAGGTATGATGAAGTGAAATTCCTCATAAGAAAGCCTCTGGAGAGTCTGCCATGCAGGCTGAGGTGTTCAAAGGCTCTTTTGCAAATTGCGGCAGTAGCTGCTAGGCACCCCCAAACACACAATCATGACTCCCTTGAGGAGGACATCTGTGAGTTACTGCACACGTGAAGTTCCTCCTGGACTCTATGGAGGAATGATGGTTGGGCCTCTGTAGAGGACCTGAAAGAGGTCACACGCCCTGTGACAGAACAACTCATTTTGAAGATTTACCTTCAAGGGCAATCAAGCGTTATGGAGAGAAACACACACACACACAACCTGGATCCCCAACATCCCGCAAATGTATCAAGTAAGTCTGAATTGCTAAGCCATATCAAAGACCTGATCCTGACTTTTCTCTCAACACCTGACAGCAATGCTGCAGTCATCCCTACAAGTCTAGGGCTTCAGTAAGCCTAATAGGCCCTGTGAGTGGAAGAGAAAAGGGAAGGATGTACATGAGCATGAAAACTCATTTGCAAGTTCTCCCAACCCAGCTCAGCAACTCCGCCCATCCTGTCAATTTTACTGCTTCACACACCTCTTCCTTACCCTGACCCTGCCTGTTAAGAATCAGCTTGCCAGGTGCAGAGCCAGCTTAGCCTCTTACTAATATGTAACCATGGGACTGAAACTGACTCAATTTCAGTAGAGCCCACGAGAAAGAAAAAATGAGTTGGTCTGTTTTCCACAGAGACTATATAGGATCTTAGTCAGAAATCCATTTAGGGCAATAATCATCCTGCTGTCTGGGGCCTGTTGTAGAGCAGTGAATACCAATATATTGAAGGTTTCCGAGTAACAGCCGTGTTAGTCTGTCTTTGTAAAAAGAAAAGGAGTACTTGTGGCACCTTAGAGACTAACCAATTTATCTGAGCATGAGCTTTCGTGAGCTACAGCTCACTTCATCGGATGCATACCGTGGAAACTGCAGAAGGCATTATATACACACAGAGACCATGAAACAATACCCCCTCCCACCCCACTGTCCTGCTGGTAATACCTTATCTAAAGTGATCATCAAGTTGGGCCATTTCCAGCACAAATCCAGGTTTTCTCACCCTCTGCCCCCCCACCCCCAAACTCACTCTCCTGCTGGTAATAGCCCATCCAAAGTGACCACTCTCTTCACAATGTGTATGATAATCAAGGTGGGTCATTTCCAGCACAAATCCAGGTTCTCTCACTCCCTCACCCCCCTCCAAAAACCATACACACAAACTCACTCTCCTGCTGGTAATAGCTTATCCAAAGTGACCACTCTCCCTACAATGTGCATGATAATCAAGGTGGGCCATTTCCAGCACAAATCCAGGTTTTCTCACCCCCCCACCCCCATACACACACAAACTCACTCTTCTGCTGGTAATAGCTTATCTAAAGTGATCATTAAGTTGGGCCATTTCCAGCACAAATCCAGGTTATATATATTATATTGAAGATTCCCCATCTCCTGGCCTTCCCTAGAATGCAGTGCGGGATACATCTATTCAGCCTGTCGTTTTACAGTGGAGGCTGCTTGGCAGGGGAGAATAAGAAGTTTCCCTTTTTTCCTTTGCGGTGCACACACTGTGATTATTGCTTGCTGCTGTGAATCATCTGCGAGCACACTTTGAGATGGTAGTTTTGTCTCTGCCCTTTCAGATGTCATCAACCTCCACTGGTGTTTTAGCTAGCTGGGGCATGGATTGCCGAGGGATATGCTGCCAGCTGGGGAATGGCATTCGTCTGACTGGCAGAGGATTTGTGTTATGAGG